ACACACACACACACACACACACACACACACACACACACACACACACACACACTTTTGCTTTATATTAAGCAAAGGGAATTTAAAAAAAAAAAAAAAAGACCTGGTAACTAATCTCTTAGCGCTCCATCTGTATGTAAAAACATAAAAATAAATTTTAATACACTACTATCACTATAATAGAGATAAATACAAGGCATATAAAGAGACTAAAGGAGGCTAACACCTTGGGGGTTGGAGAGAGGAAAGGGAATAGGAAATTAGGAAATAGCTGACTTTGTGGTGACACGTGAATAGACATAAAGCACGAGTAAGAATGCTTACGCAAGAGGCAGACAAGGCAGGAGAGGGCACTGCAAATATAATAGACAGCATGAGATGCAAAGATCACAGATAATCTGACGTGTTACGAGACTGCAAGCAGACAAGCAGGACACAAAGCTGAAGAGAAAGGCAAAGCTCAAATCTAGACCATGGCTAAGGACCTGGGACTCTGTTCTAGACCACAAGGAACCATTTTAAAATTTTAATCAAAGGTGAGATGCAATCAAATTTGAATTTTAAAGCCCTAAGACTGATGACTATAGAGAATACATGAAGGCAAGAAAACCACCATGGAGGTTGAATTAACAGAGTTAAAAACCTGAAGGAAAAAAAAATTATTTTAAAGAGAAAACAGATATCCCTATTTTTCTGTGAATTCTCCTAATTTTGAAATAGCAATTCAAATTCTCTGTTACTCAAGCAAAACAGGTTACAGTCTGAATTTAGCCAGCAGATCACATGTATGCAAGTTCTGGAAGAGTGGCTTTGAGTAATCTAATTGATATGCCTGATCTAACTAACAGTTATATGCCAAATTTGGACCAAACAAATTAAATTAAATAACTGGAACATATACAAATATCCAAGACACAAAAGCAAAAATACCTAAAAGATGGATAAATTTGACCACAACCAAATGAACAATGTCTGTACAATTACCCAAAAATTTTTTTTAAGTTTACTGAAACAAAATGTTTGCAACACATAAAACTGAGAAAAGATTAGTGTCCAGAAACATAAACAACTGCTACAAACCAGTAAGAAAAAAAGCCAATTAAAAAAAAACAGGCAAAAGCAACTCAGAGAAAATACAAATGGTTTATAAGCATATATAAAAATATTCAACCTCACCAGTATTGGTGTGCCAATTCAAGTAACAATGAAAACCAGTTTTATGCGTCAGTTCACCAAATGTTTTAAGTTTAATTATAGCCTGTCAGCAATGGTGGAGAAGTGGGTATTCTCATAAAGTACTGATACGGGAAATAATGCCATTTTGGATGACAACTTGAGTTAATTTTAAATGCATATATCTTATGATCCAAAAATTTCACTTCTAATATCAAAACACAGGTATTTTCTCCCAAATAAAGAGGCATGCTTGAAAATGCTCAGTAACAGCAACAAAAGGGAACCGCCTCAATGCATACTAATTGAGAAATGGTCCAACTACAGTTATGTTCATTTGACAGAATTCTATACAACAAATAAAAATAATAATGTACCTATTCCAACATGAAAATATCACTATCTTATTATTGGCTAAAAGAAGCAAACTGCAGAAAATAACTAAAATAACACTATTTTTAAAATGTGTACAATGATCCCTTCCTCACGGCACACACAAAAATCAATTTTAGGCAGACGGTTAATGTAAAGGTGGAGAGCAAAAGAATAAAATTCTGCAACACAATATAAGAAAGTACCTTCTTGACACTGGGTTAGGGAAAATTTTTTTAAAACAGGACATAAAGAGTATAATCCATATGGCAAAAGATTAATAAACTGGACTAAATTCAACTTAAGACCTTCTATTGATCAAAAAGACACCTTTAACAGAATGAAAGGGTTACAAACATTTACTCCGTGGATTTTCACACACAAAACCAATGAAAATGAATAAAGAACTCCTACAACACTCATACACTAGTGCAAGTGTTTTTTATTAGTACAACTGTTTTGAAAAATTATCATTATCTACACATACCCTATGACTCAGCGAGTCCTCTCCTGAGTGTGTTCAGAAATGCAGGCTCATGTACATCAAAAGGTTTTACAAGAGTTTTCACAGCCACATTTTTTGTACTAATAAAAACTGTAAGCAGGGCCGGCCGAGTGGCGCAATGGTTAAGAACTGGCTTGGGACACCAGAGGGCCCTGGTTCGGATCCCACATATGAGGGCCAGTGACACTGCCCTCTACAGCTAAGATGGTGAACAACAGCTTGACCTGGAGCTGGGCTGCCGTGAGGGCTGCAGTGGGCTGCCGTAAGCTACTGTGAGTGGCTGCAGCCAGCATGAGCTGCCAAGCCACCATGAGCGGTCGGCCAATGGCCGGTGAGTGACTGCCTCACCTGGGAAGAGTGCAATGATAATACCAACATGGGCCAGTGAAGCGACATCCTCCACAACTAGACTAAAGAATAAAAGCACAGCAACTTGTCTGTTCCCCTCCCCCAATTCCCCAATAAAATCTTTAAAAAAAAAAAAACAGTGTAAGTTACAGTTAATAATAATGTATTGCATATTTGAAAGTTACTGATAGTAGATCTTAAAAATTCTCCTCACAAGAAAAATAATTTGTTACTATGGTAACAGATGGTAACGACTTATTGTGGTGATTGTTTTGCAATATTCGTATATATACAAATATCAAACCATTATGTTATACACCTGAAAACAATATAATGTTTTATGTCAATTATACCTCAATTTGAAAAAGCATATAGTAGGCCGGCCGAGTGGCTCAGTTGGTTAAGAGTGCGAGCTCTGAGCAACAGGGTTACCGGTTCGATTCCCACATGGGCCAGTGAGCTACGCCCAAGCTGAGCTGCTGCTGAGCTGCCAACAGGTGGCAGATGACTCAGCTGGTGAGAACACATGCTCCTAACAACAAGGTTGTAGGTTCGACTCCTGTATGAGATGGTGGGTTATGCCCACCCGCAACTAAGATTGAACATGGCACCTTGAGCTGAGCGGCTCTGAGCTGTTGATGGGTAGCCAGTTTGCGACTGGACTTGGATCTGAGCTAGCTGCGCCTTCCACAACTAAGATTGAAGGACAACAACTTGGCTGTTCCTCTTTCCCAATTCCCCAATAAAAATCTTTAATTAATAAATAAGTAAGTAAATAAATAAATAAATAAAGTGAATATTATGACCTTGGCCCATCGAGTTCGCTCCTCACTAGTTAATGCTGCTATCCCAGGTCCGACAGGTTCACTATGGCACTTCTTATGAATATACGTCAATTGCCTTAAAGAAAAAGGATTCAAAAAGAGCATAAGCAGGATCATTAGCTACTTTGGCCTTTCACAGGTCATAATTTTTATCAGTATTTAAATGTTTTGATATACTTGTATTATCCAAAGAAAGGGATTACAACAATCTCAATAGCAATGGATTTATTTCACACACCACAACTTTTTATAAAAAGTGATTACATGGCCTATTAACATCAAAAGAGTATTTGACAATAACTTAAGTAAATGAATTTGGTGTTTGGCTGGTATAATACATACAAATACTTTAAAAATGTACATGTACTTCCAGGACTGAAGTAAGTACCCCTTATAGAACAGAGAACTTGAATTATATTTTGGTAAATAATCTCACAAATATCACATACATCTTATCTAAAAACTATGCGCATATATATTTAATAGAGGACTTACTGTATACCCAGTTAATATTTGTGTTAAATAAACATAACTGTCACATAGTTGGTTTTAAATGTTTTCACATGTGCTGCTGTTGCCTATAACCATTTTACTTTAAAGACTCTGTCAGCTAAGGATAAATTATTTGGCCCCATAGCATTATACTCCCAATCTGATGAGTTTCATGTATCTTTAAACATATGGCAGGGAAATAACAGGGTTCTCCCATAAAGAAATACATTTTCAAGTAAAAAATCCACAAAGGTTTAGTTTCAGCCTTAATTCCTCATGGCACATGCTATTCCTTCAATTAAAAGCTTCTAAGAGTTTCTGAAAAATGGAGCTAATGTAGCTTAATAAATGGTCAAAGGGCACCACTAATAGCCATCCTTTATTTGTGGCGTTTTCATTCAAAACTTGAAAAAAATACAATTACTGATTTGCATAATTTCCTCTGTTCCTTAATTATTTCTGCAATACTAATGAAGAAATAAATTCCCTGCTGCAAAAGTCCTCCCTCTTGATCTGAACACTAATGGTGTCCCCTGGAGCGCATGAGGGCTTCTTCACCAAACAATCAGCACCAATGATGGGAGCAGCTCGCCGGGCCTCTTCCTGCTTGCTTGTGTTTGCAAACTGATTATGCTTCAACTACAAATAAAGTTTCTACAGACTGTGGTTTAGTTCTGGGCTTAGTAAGTAGCATAAATTCTGAATGCTAAAGTCATAAAATCTACCTCACTCTTTTTTCTCCATATGGTACTGGTTACTACTCTTCTCTTACCACCTAAAAGCACCAGCTTTGACTATGAAACTTTTCCCTGCTCCCTGTTATGGCCATTTTCATATTCAGTGGGAAATGACCACCTCATAACAGGAGGTCATTCAGAGAGAAATTACTGGAAAAAATGTGTTATACCTGAGACAACATTTTAAGTTTGATAATAAAAGGTGAGATAATACCTGCCCAAATCTTCACCATTAAGAAGTCCATGCTACCCAAAGCAATCTACAGATTCAATGCAATTCGTATCAAAATCCCAATGGCATTTTTCACAGAAATAGAAAAAAAGTATTAAAATTTACAAAAAAACTTCAGACAGCAAAAACAATTTTGAGTAAGAAGAACAAAGCTGGAGACATCGCACATCCTGATTTCAAAGTAAATATATTACAAAGCTACAATATCAAAACAGTATGCTACTGGCATAAAAACACATATAGACCAATGGAACGGAACAGAGAGCTCCAAAATAAATCCACTTACATATAGTCAACTGAGGTTGCCAAGGGTGCCAAGAACACACCATGAGAAAAGGATAGTCTCCTAAATGAATGGTGTTGGGAAAACTGGATTGCCACATACAGAAGAATGAAACTGGACCTGTCTTATACCACAGACAAAAATCAACTCAAAGTGGATTAAAGGTTTAAATGTAGAACCTAAAACAATAAAACTCCTAGAAGAAAATATGGGGGAAAAGCTTCCGACATTGGCCTTGGCAAGTATTTTTTGGATATGACATAAAAAATACAAGCAACTAAAGTAAAACTAAACAGGGATTACATCAAACTAAAAGCTTCTGCACAGTCGAGGAAACAATAAAATGAAAAGGCAACTTACTGAATATGAGAAAATATCTGCAAATCATACATCTGATAATAGGTTAATATCCAAAATATATAAGGATCCACTACAACTCAACAGCAAAAAACCAAATCTGATTTAAAATATGGGCAAAGGAACTAAAGTGACATTTCTCCAAAGATATACAAATGGCCAACCGGTATGTGAAAAAGTGCTCAATATCAATAATCATCAGGGAAATGTAAATCAAAACTATAATATATATCACCTCACTTCTATTAGGATGCTTTATTATCGAAAAGGCAAGAGTCAACAAGTGTTGGCGAGGAAGTGGAAAAAAAGGGTACCCTCGTGCACTGTTGGTGGAAATGTCAATTGGTGCAGCCGTTATGGAAAACAGTATGTAGGTTCCTCAAGAAATTAAAAATAGAACTACCTTATGACCCCTCAATTCCACTCCTGGGTATTTATCCAAAGGAAATGAAATCAGAATCTTGACAAGACATCTGTACTCCCTTGTTCATTGCAGATTACTCACAATAGCCAAGAAATAGTAGCAACTTAAATATCCATGGACGGATGAATGGATAAACAAATACACATACACACACACACACACAAAAGAATATTATTCAGGCTTAAAATAAGGAAAAAATCCTGCCATTTGCAACAACATGGATGAACCCGGGGAACATTACGCTAAATGAAATAAGCCAGACACAAAAAGACAAATAATATGCTATTCCGCTTATATGAGGTGTCTAAAATAGTCAAGCTCCTAGAAACAGAGTAGAATGGGGGTTGCCAGAGGCTAGGGTAAGTAGGAAACAGGGAGGTATTAGTCAAAGGGCACAAAGTTTCAGTTATGTAAGATGAGCAAGTCCTAGAGAGCTACTGTACAGAATAGCGCCTACAGTTAACAATACTGGATTGCATACTTCAAATTTGCTAAGAGGGTAGATTTTATGTTAAGTATTCTTACCACAAAAATTATTAATAATAAATAAAAAGGGTGGGAAATTGTTGGAGGTGATGGATATGTTTATGGTATAAATTGTGGTGATGATTTAATGGGTGTACCCTTATCTCTAAACTCATCAAATTGTACACAATAAATAGGTACAGCTTTTTGTATGCCCATAATACATCCACAAAGTAGTTTTAAAAAAACAAATTCTCTGTTCAAATAAAAAAGGAGGTACAGGTTTGGTGACTAGGATAATCCCTTTTTGCCTTTAATTTGGCTATTTATGCACCTGTTTCAGCTACACAGCAATTTTTGGTATTTAAAAGTACAAAAATTTGTATTATATTAACAATATTTACATTTCGGAATAATACATCCTTAAAAATATTTTACACTTGATAGTTCCTCACAATCTGGTCCCGCCTTTATTACTTTGCCTTCATTACTTTCCACTCACTCTTTTAATTTACTGTAATCTGGGTTTTGCCTCCAGTGATTATCTTGAAACTGAGCTTCTGAAAGTTACCATCCCATTAAAAAACAAAATAAACAAACAAAAAACCCTAGTTGCTTTATGTCAGTCTGATTTTCCTCATCATAAAGTGTTTAACACCCAGGAGGAAACCTTAACATTATCTTCTGCCTTGGCCTTTGTGGTACTGTTCCACTGTGGTCTCCCTACCTCTCATTGGCCATTCATTTTCCTTCCACTGACAATTGTGTGTTTCCCCAAATTTCTATCACTGGCTCCCCGCAACCTCGTCTACAATTTCTTCCTTGGTAATTTCATCCACTTCTTTAATAGCTTCAACTACTACCTTTATGTAAGAGACAACCAGATCTCCAACTTCAACCCCATTTTAACTCTAAATTTCTGGTACCAAATCTTCAAATTCTTATTGATATCTCTACCTCAATTTCTGCCAACATTTCAAACTAGGTGTACATTTAAAAATTATTTCCTTGTTTCCTTCCCACAAAATAAAAAATAAGCTGATCTTAGAAGAAAACACAGGTATAAATCTTAAGACCTTGGATTAGGCAATGGTTTCTTGGGTATGACACCAAAAGGACAAGCAACCAAAAGGAAAAAAATAGATAAATTGGACTTTGTCAAAATTAAAATGTTTGTGCTTCAAAGGAGGCCATGAAAAAAGTGAAAAGACAACTCAAAAATGGGAGAAAAATATTTGCAAATTATATATCTAATAAGGGGCTCTTATATGGAATATATAAAGAAGTCTTACAACTCAATGAAAAGACAAATAACTCAAAATTGGCAAAGGATTTAAATATGCATTTCTCCAATGAAGATATACAAACGGCCAATAAGCACATGAAAAGATGTTCAACATCATTGTCATTATTGAAAAGCAAATATAAACCACAATGAGATCCCACTTCACACCCACTAGGATGGCTATAATAAAAAAGTCAGATCATAACAAGGATGTGGAGAAACTGGAACCCTCATGTACTGCTGGTGTAAATGTAAAATGGTGCAGTCATTTCAGAACAGTCTGGCAGTTCTTCAGATGGTTAAACATAAAGTCATGACCCAGGAATTCCACTCCTAGGTATTCCAAGAGAAATGAAAATGTATGTCCACATAAAAACCTTTACACAGATGTTCACAGCAGCATTATTCATAGCAGCCAAAAAGTAGCAACAACCCAAGTGTTCATCAGCTGATGAATGATTAAATAAAATGTGGCATATTTATGGAAAGGAATATTATTAAGTCATAAAAAAGAAGTATGAATACATGCTATAACATGGATGAACCTAGAAAACATTATGCTAAGTGAAAAAAGCCAAAAACAAAAAAGCCATATATTATAAGATCCCATCTATATGAAATGTCTGGAATAGGTAAATCCATAGAAACAGAAAGCCAATTGGTAGGTGCCTAGGGCTGGTCAGGTGGGAGTGTTTGGGAGATATCGGAGGTGTCTGCTAATGGAAGAATCGAGGAGCAACAGGAAGTTACTGCTTATGGGTTCAGGGGTTACTTTTGGGGATGACAAAAATGTTCTAAAATTGGTTGTGGAGAGGGTTGCACAATTCTGTAAACATTCTAAAAATGTTGAATTGTATATTTTAAATGGGTAAAAAGCATGGTATATGAATTATATCTCAATAAAGTTGTTATTAACAAAATAAGTAGTTATTATTCATAATATAATACTATCTGCCTACTTATCCAAGTTGAAAAACCTCACTCATGCTTAATGCTTTCTTTCTAAATCCAATCACCAATTCTTATGGTTTTAGCTCCAAAATGTTTCTGCATTTGTCCTAGCTTTTAAAGTCCCAACTTCTTATTTCTTTCCTGGATTATTGCAGATTTTAACACATCTCTTTGGGGCTCCAACTCACAAATATTCAGAATCTGACCAATCTATCTTACTCTTCTAATATGTATCTTATGTTTCTAGGTAAAATTTCCTAATGCACAGGACTGGCCTGATCACTCAAGTGTTCTCTCTCTCTCTCTCTCTCTCTCTCTCTCTCTTTCTCTCTCTCTCTTGCTTACACACACACACACACACACACACACACACACACACACACACACACACACACACACATTTGCTTTATATTAAGCAAAGGGAATTTAAAAAAAAAAAAAAAAGACCTGGTAACTAATCTCTTAGCGCTCCATCTGTATGTAAAAACATAAAAATAAATTTTAATACACTACTATCACTATAATAGAGATAAATACAAGGCATATAAAGAGACTAAAGGAGGCTAACACCTTGGGGGTTGGAGAGAGGAAAGGGAATAGGAAATTAGGAAATAGCTGACTTTGTGGTGACACGTGAATAGACATAAAGCACGAGTAAGAATGCTTACGCAAGAGGCAGACAAGGCAGGAGAGGGCACTGCAAATATAATAGACAGCATGAGATGCAAAGATCACAGATAATCTGACGTGTTACGAGACTGCAAGCAGACAAGCAGGACACAAAGCTGAAGAGAAAGGCAAAGCTCAAATCTAGACCATGGCTAAGGACCTGGGACTCTGTTCTAGACCACAAGGAACCATTTTAAAATTTTAATCAAAGGTGAGATGCAATCAAATTTGAATTTTAAAGCCCTAAGACTGATGACTATAGAGAATACATGAAGGCAAGAAAACCACCATGGAGGTTGAATTAACAGAGTTAAAAACCTGAAGGAAAAAAAAATTATTTTAAAGAGAAAACAGATATCCCTATTTTTCTGTGAATTCTCCTAATTTTGAAATAGCAATTCAAATTCTCTGTTACTCAAGCAAAACAGGTTACAGTCTGAATTTAGCCAGCAGATCACATGTATGCAAGTTCTGGAAGAGTGGCTTTGAGTAATCTAATTGATATGCCTGATCTAACTAACAGTTATATGCCAAATTTGGACCAAACAAATTAAATTAAATAACTGGAACATATACAAATATCCAAGACACAAAAGCAAAAATACCTAAAAGATGGATAAATTTGACCACAACCAAATGAACAATGTCTGTACAATTACCCAAAAATTTTTTTTAAGTTTACTGAAACAAAATGTTTGCAACACATAAAACTGAGAAAAGATTAGTGTCCAGAAACATAAACAACTGCTACAAACCAGTAAGAAAAAAAGCCAATTAAAAAAAAACAGGCAAAAGCAACTCAGAGAAAATACAAATGGTTTATAAGCATATATAAAAATATTCAACCTCACCAGTATTGGTGTGCCAATTCAAGTAACAATGAAAACCAGTTTTATGCGTCAGTTCACCAAATGTTTTAAGTTTAATTATAGCCTGTCAGCAATGGTGGAGAAGTGGGTATTCTCATAAAGTACTGATACGGGAAATAATGCCATTTTGGATGACAACTTGAGTTAATTTTAAATGCATATATCTTATGATCCAAAAATTTCACTTCTAATATCAAAACACAGGTATTTTCTCCCAAATAAAGAGGCATGCTTGAAAATGCTCAGTAACAGCAACAAAAGGGAACCGCCTCAATGCATACTAATTGAGAAATGGTCCAACTACAGTTATGTTCATTTGACAGAATTCTATACAACAAATAAAAATAATAATGTACCTATTCCAACATGAAAATATCACTATCTTATTATTGGCTAAAAGAAGCAAACTGCAGAAAATAACTAAAATAACACTATTTTTAAAATGTGTACAATGATCCCTTCCTCACGGCACACACAAAAATCAATTTTAGGCAGACGGTTAATGTAAAGGTGGAGAGCAAAAGAATAAAATTCTGCAACACAATATAAGAAAGTACCTTCTTGACACTGGGTTAGGGAAAATTTTTTTAAAACAGGACATAAAGAGTATAATCCATATGGCAAAAGATTAATAAACTGGACTAAATTCAACTTAAGACCTTCTATTGATCAAAAAGACACCTTTAACAGAATGAAAGGGTTACAAACATTTACTCCGTGGATTTTCACACACAAAACCAATGAAAATGAATAAAGAACTCCTACAACACTCATACACTAGTGCAAGTGTTTTTTATTAGTACAACTGTTTTGAAAAATTATCATTATCTACACATACCCTATGACTCAGCGAGTCCTCTCCTGAGTGTGTTCAGAAATGCAGGCTCATGTACATCAAAAGGTTTTACAAGAGTTTTCACAGCCACATTTTTTGTACTAATAAAAACTGTAAGCAGGGCCGGCCGAGTGGCGCAATGGTTAAGAACTGGCTTGGGACACCAGAGGGCCCTGGTTCGGATCCCACATATGAGGGCCAGTGACACTGCCCTC